CAGTGCCAACATAATTTTTGCAGTTCGCTCCTTAACATCTCTTCAGATCATTTTGTAGAGAGAGCAGATCATTTCTGTTGGATTGTACGGTTGAGCTCGCTGATTGCTCCTAATACATACTGGACCATTGCATGCAGAATCTTTCTTTAACAAACCGAATTACTGCTGTTGGAAGACATACTTAATCTAAGCCCAGTCTCTTGGGAGAGCTGGAACCTTGAAGTAAAAGCCTTAGGGCTTTGAAAAACAGTGTGGTTAAACTTAATTATGTTACTGTAAAATGTGCGGGTTTTTTTTTCTCTCAATTTTCAAAGTGGAGGCTGCAATTCCTGAGAGAAAGCACCAAGTGATTTGTTCACATCAAATGAAATGCAAAAGCAAGATTTGACGTCAAGATTTTCATTCCAAATATTTTTACTGTTTCATTCCTACCTCTTGATGACATTGTGACCCTTCAAGCGAGGTTTGTGGGCAGGAAGTGTGTTGGATGCAGGGTTTTCAACAGTGTTCATAGGCGGGCTGGTCCTAAATTACATGTTGTTTCTGCAATGGCTTTACCACTAGAATTTCCCAGATAAAGCTCGGAATTTGGAGTCCTGTCCTTTCAATGCAAGACACCGGATCCCAAAAGCGGAAATGAAGCATCATATCACTATTTGTGCAGACAAGAAGGTTATTGAAGAAGATTTTGGTAAGAACCCAAGTTATGTTTGAGAGTAGTTTAACTTTTTTGTTTAAATCTTTTATGTGAAACTAATGCATGTTTTGGTTCTGGCTAGATCATTTATTTAATTCATTTATAGGATGTAGGTGTCGCTGGCTGGGCCAGCATTTATTGCCTTCTGTAGTTGCCCCTTTGTGAAGGCAGTGGTGAGCTGCCTTCTTGCATTGCTGCTGTCCATGTGCTGTAGGGAGGGAATTCCAAGATTGTGACCCAGCAACACTGAAGGAACGGCGATATATTTCCAAATCAGGCTGGTGAGTGGCTTGGAGGTGGACTTACAGGGTGTGGTGTTTCCATGTATCTGCTGTCCTTATCCTTCTTGATTGAAGTGGTCATAGGTTTGGAAGGTGCTACCTAAGGATCTTAGGTGAATTTCTGCAGTGGTTTCTGTTCTTGCAGAGATGCACCCATCTGCCCCGGGTCACCAGGAGTTTGGAGTATATATCTGTATTTACCAGAATCACCTTACAA